ATTGATGAAGTTATCAATGAGGATTAGTAAAAATCTCAGTTTTTAAAAGTCCATCCCCAAGTTCATAAAAGGTCTCATAGCAGTGATGGGATTGAGCTTTTTTTATATGTTGGTGAAGCAACTTTTCATGAATTTTATTTACATTTTTTGGATTACTTCGATAAGTGACGTCCTAATGCTTACTGGTCTAGTAATATCCTTGTAGAAGCTTCTTCATTAATAGGTTATCACCTTCAGAATAGCAACCACGCTTATCTCCGTAGAGTTCTTAGAGCACCTCCTTTGTTTCTTATAGGCATATAAATCTTAAACTAATGCCAATGTAGGACTTCTAGTATAACTCAACATCACAGATGAAGTAACACTAATATTCGTAACGAAAAAAGCAAGCATCTTCTAATCATTGTGGCATAGTACAAAATGAAAGGTAATCGAAGGTGGATGAGTACCATTACCCATTTGCATCTAATTTTTTTTTATTTCGACATCCTCAATTGAAAGGTACTCCTACTCCCCTATTGAGGTAATAATGCCATTTTCATACTTCATTAAGTTAGTTATTTGGTTCTCCTCTTGAAATATATAAGTGATGTTTACTTTCTAGAGCTTAGAAATCTTAGTTTTGACTTTGATTAAATACCTCCTATAATCCTTGAAAAATCATTCAACATCAATGTTAAATATTAATATACACATGTCTTGTCAGTATGAATATTCATTTTAAATATTAGTTAGCTGAATGGAACTAAACACCTGATATATATATATATATAAACTGTCGGGGGTGCAAGGGGGCAGCGCCCCCTGGCGGGGTTCGACCAGCCCGATCAGGTTGCGGGGTCAAGGGGCAGCGGCCCTACGAGGGTTTCCGGGGGCAGCGCCCTCGGAACAAATTTTGGTTGTAAGGATATTTTTGGAATTCAAATTTAAAAATAAAATAATTAATGTTTTTTACTATTTATTTGGGGCTATTGCCTAAATATCCATTAACCTTTCTTCTTATTTTCTCTCATGATAGAAATAATGATATTGTTATCCAAGTATGTCCATTATCTCAACTTCTTGTTTAACATCTAGTTCTTTATTCTCTCCTTGAGATTTTTAAGGAAGTCTTTCCTCTTAAGTTCAAGGTCATGCTGGAAGGGCAAAAGTGTTTAAATGTCACATTTTTTATTTAAAATATAAGAATTAAAATCCGAAGGCAAATCCACTTGAGAACTGCAAGAAAATCAGTAGAAAAATAAGTCGGGCATATTTCGCTAGAAATATGTTGGAAAGTCATAGAAAAATAGTCCACCGTAAAGCTGTTGATAATGAAAGATTTTCCTGCAGTGAACTTACATTTTTAATAATGTAAATCATGATGCTACCAATGGAGATCATAACATGGCAACAACTGCATTTATTGGGCCACTAATAAGGTAAATTGAAATTCTTTGTGGATAAGAATCCCTTTTAGACTATAGAGGACTTATTTAAAAAAGGCTACGTAGTTTTTTAATACATAGGAGTATGCTTAGAAAACTAATGAACAAAACCCCAATTCTTTTATACACTTAAAGAAAGGGAAGTATTGAGGGAAGTGCATGTAAGCTCAAGAAATTTTAAGAAGAAGTCTTAAAAGACTAACATCTCTCGCCATAGTGATCCAGCTAAAAAAAATATTAGAATAATGATCAAAGAAAATATATGCAAGAGAAATTTGCTGGTGCTAATTATTCACCATTTAATCAACCTTTTAGTACTACTGCTAAAATCAATGATATAAAGAGCATAATTTAAGTGGAATTGAATACTCCAATATGCAAAATTAGTCCCTATAATTAGTCTAAGTTGTTTAAGTATAAAAACATTTGTATGAATGCTATTAATAACTATCGAGTTCTTAGAGCCATTATTGAAATGTTGTAAAGAATTATTGCCTGCTATACGATCAAGAAATAACCCACAAAGGAGTTTATAACAAAGGGCATGGTTTAAATAATCAGAATGATGCATGCCATCATGACTAAAGAAATTGTTCTGAAGGCATATCAATAGAAAAACACCAAATTACTTATCAAGTATGAAGTTCACTCTCTTAACTCTACAACTACTCAACATTTTACTTTACAAATTATGACCTCTCTTCATATGATGATGCTATAGTGGTTTTGATTATAATAAACCATTATATAACTCTTCAAATAATGGTTGGCATAGAGAAATCTATCAATTTTTTTTTTTTTTTTGAATTAATTGAAATATGTGCATTCATCTTATGATGGTGAGTAGCTTTGCCTGCAATATTTTTAACTATGATGCTTTTTAGGTGTGGATTTGTCTGCATTGTTTAAAGGTTTAAGGATGTGCTACGACTATAACATTAAAAATTTTTGGATTGAAACAGATTCTAAACGTATGATCTCATTGATTAAAGCCAAAAATTATCTTAATGCTAAGAACTTTTATAAGTTTAAGAAGATTATGGACATAATGAGTAATCTTTCTTTTAGAATCTCTTATGTTGGATGCTTCGGGGTTGCCTTACATTATTAGATAGCTGGTTGGTGTTTCCTATTGGATCATGCCTTTTCCTTGTGTCTTTGGTCTATTTTTCTGTTGTTTCCTATTTGTGGTTTCTCGTTCTTGCTTGTTCAGCTCGGTTTCCCAGTCAACTTTTGATACTTGGTTTTGAAAATTATGATTCATGATTCACCATTGTTTGCATTGATATTCTATTAGAAATACTTCATGCAAGAAGATTGGAAAGATTAAATTTTCTTCTCTAATTTTTTCTTGACTTATATTCTTGTTTAAAAAGAGTTTGGCCTATAGGGTGCTTGAGTTGCATAACATTTACTGTGTCCAACTAAGTTTGTTCATTTTGGTTTTTATCTATAGTTCAATGGCTTTTTGATATTTTGTGTTGTTTCTTATTTTGTGTTGGGTTGGTTGTTTATTCTTGTTGGGTTCATCTATGGGGGCTATTGGTTGGTTGCATTCATGTGGTTCTCCTGGTTAGTTGGTTGTCTGTTGTTATTTTTTACAGCTGAGTTTGTGGTTGTTTTTTTCCTTGGGTGTTGGCTTTATGTGCTCGGCTATGTGAGTTCTGAATGGTCCTTTTAATTATACAGGGTTCTTATTGCTAGTTTATGGTTGTCTTCTTTGTCTTGCTGTTGTGCTTCCTCTGGTTGTTGCCTTGTGTGCTAGTTTTTGCATTATTTTACCTTGGGATTTTTCTAACCTTGTATGTTTTACGGGTGCTTACTTCTTTGCGATTTTTTTTTTTTGCTTTCTTATTTGCAAATATTTTGTTGATATGAAAGTGCTGACTGATCTACTCAAGTTAGTTGGGTAGCTATTTTATGGGACTTGGTTGTTTGTCTCCTTTTTTGGTTTTTTTCTTATTGTAATTATATAGGGATCTATGACTCCTTAGATTTTTTTCCTCTTTCTATTATAGCTATTTGAGTGTATATTAAGTAGTGGATTCCTCTAAGAACTTGTATTTTTTTTTTTTTTTTTGATAGTAGCATATAAGCCCTATGTGGGTTTTAACCAAAAAAAAAGGAGGCAATGTTTATAAAAAAACACTTCATTACATTTCATAATTATCATTGACAATGCATTATTCCTCTTATTGTTGCCACCCAAAAATCTAAAACAAGCTCAATCTTGCAATCAATTCTCTATTGCATAAGAAGTCAGCACATCATTGTGTGCACATGATTACTATCAATAGATTATAGATCCCCAACACCGTTTTTATCATTCTTTTTTATTTCATTTGTGACAAAGTTATATTAATATCCCTCGTATTGCTAAAAAATAGGCTTATTTTATACTTACAAATAATGGAGTTTTACATTTAGGCAAGGCTCATTAAAAGGGGTTTTCAGACAAAAATAAATCATGTAATTTGGCGTACAATAAATGTCCATAAAAAAATGATAAGAGGAGTAACTTAAAAAAAAAATCCTAAAACAAAATGTTACCACTTTGTTTTCTTTTTCTATTGGGGAGTAGAATTTTATTAATTTGAATATCAGAATATTAGAATAAAAATTGTTCTATTCTACCAATTTGATGAATTGAACAAATTAAATGGACATCCCTATCTAAACATATAGATAATGATTAGATTCTACTTGTATTTGCTCTCTATTTTCTAATTTGTGATGCAAATTATCCTCTTATAGGGATCCATCCTCCAATTTTACATGAACCCAACACATCTCCTATAAAACCAAAAGAGCTCTTTAATTACCATAATTAGCTAAGAAATCCTTATCACATGCTCTAACAACACCACTAAAATAATCTATAAAGTTGAAAGAAAGCCCTCAGCTTGCAAGACTTCAATGTCAATAGAAAAAGCAACAAGTTCTTAGATAAATTATGAACAACCTTCCCAATATGAAGAAATCCCACCTAAAGTAATAATATTTAAGGAAAAATATTCATTGTATCATACAAATTAGATCCCTTTTTGCATTTTATATCATAAAAATATTGAAAATATGAACTTAAATAGGTGATTTTTCATTAAAAATATATTATTAACCATTTATATCTTCATATATTATGATTATTATATAAATCATATATAATGTCTTATATCGTACAAAATGATGTAAAATCTGTACCGCTAAATCAATATATATTGTAATTTATTGTCAAATAAGTTGATGAACTAAGATTTTGTTTGGGATGGATTTTTTACTACTTAAATAAATTTGTAGTACAAAAATTAAAATCTTTTTACTAGAAAGCTAATTTAAGAAGCAGCAAGAAAGTCATCTCAAATAAAACCTAAGAAGTAAGATCAACATCACATTTTTCATGATACATTATATAAAAATATTAATTTTCAACTTTAAAAATATTTACTTATGATAGTTTAAGTAATAAAATATATTGAGATTGTATTACATATAGGAAAAAATATTAATGAAAAATTAATGGGAATAGCACTTATGATAATAAACAAATTGAGAAAATCATATCGATTATTAGAGAAAGTGTACTCTTTTTTTTTTTTTTCTTAACTCTTTAGGAGAGAAAAAGGCAAGAACAACAAACCATGAGGAAGAAAAAAAAAAAAAAAAAAAGAAACTACATCCAATCCTCTACACCAAACCCTCACTACCACTACGTCTCCCCAAGTACTAGGCGTGACACTTGTTAGTGGAGCTCTACATCATGGTGCTCCCACTCTCCCGTTCTTTCCATCTTCCTCGTCGGCTCCTTCCATCCCCCCTCTTTCTCTCTCTCTCTCTCCTTTTCTCAATTACATGTCAGTATATCTTCTCTGAAAAGACAACATCAAGCAGAACTCCACTCCTCATCCATTTCAGTAGCAAATGTTTGGTACGTCACCACCCCTGCGCCGGAGAACGTCTCCGACGCCCTGCTCCGGCAACTCATCCCTGCTATTTTTTCAATACACGTTTCAGGTCCGCCGGTGACGGAGACCGACATTACTCCTGGCCGGAACACGGCATTCACTTTGTTTAGCAAAGTCTGTATCTCGGATTCTTCGGTCAACACGCACTCGTAGCTAGCGTAGCTATAACCCTCCTCTGGCGTGACGTGAATGGTGGAGTAGCGATCGGCGTGGAGGCCGTTCATGGAGTACCCACAGGGGTCGAAAGCGAATTCGCAGATGAAGGCCCGCGGGCCGGCGGCGTCAGCTATTTCCGCCCGTCGGGTCATCTCCCGCCCTGCTTCATGCCCTGACATCCCTGCCTCCCCCGGCCAGCGGAAGAACCGGTCTGCCACAGTCCGGTCGAGCTCAGTCATGCATACCTCTACGGTTATCGGGCCTCCGGTAAAGTCGTCGGCTTTGGAACTGGCGGAATAGACGTGCCACTTGTGGCGAGAGGAATGGGAGGGGAGAACGCGGGCCTTACGGTGGCGGAGGGAGGCGGGGAGGTTTTTTTCAAGGAAAAAAACTTCTTCTTTAAAGCTTGTGTGCGGGGAGAGCTGAGCGTTTGGGAAGATGAAGCTGCCGCGGGTGTATTTGCAGCGGAGTAGCTTGAGGCCGAGTGCCGCGGCGTGGTGGAGGAGCAGAGGGACAGAGTGGAGGAGCCCGGTGGTTCCGCACGTCTTAATTACAAGCTTATCCGGATAAAGAAAGAGGCTTGATTCGGAGAGCACGTAGGCGTCGAAGTGGGCATTGCCGACGGCGGAGACAACGCGGCACTGCACCGCGGCGAGGATGTGATCAAGCGTTTTGAAGCTGAGGCGGCGGAGACCCATCGGATCGTCGCCGAAGAAGTGGAGCTCCAGCCTCTTCTCGAAGCCTTCAAAGCCGGAGACCGCCATGGAGTAGCAATGAGGCCGGGGGTGAGAGAAAGCTAAGGTGAGTGGGCTGGCGAAGTGGGAAGAAGAGAGTGGGGTTGGGTGGGGGATTTATAGTGAGGATTGAAGAAGAAGAAGAAGCAGGCCAATGGGCAATATGGCATGCGCGTGAGGCAACCAAGGTTCATGATTGTGGGCATAACAAGAGGGATGTTGATTGCTTTTCGTGGGAGATCTCTTGGGGTATGTGGAGGGAGAGAGAGAGAGAGAGCTGAAGCCCACGCGCGCAGGGAAAGTGGGGGCAGGGAGGAGCAGGGAATAAAAAAGGAATGTGAAGGTTACAAGGCAGGGCACTCAAAATATGGAGAAAGGAGAATAAGAATGAGAGAGGGGGTGGGAGGGGAGATAGTGGTGAGTGGGGAGGGGATCAGAAATGAAAGTGGACAGTAGAAAAAACTGTGGTGTAGAGAGTGCTTTATAATAATCTGCTTTTTTGGAAGTTACTCTTTGTTGGGAACTAAGATCATGATGCTGGCTAGCTGTGCGCACTCCATTTTTGTGATGTATATCATTAAGTATAATGGGCTAACATGGACCTTCTCTTTTCAACTTATATTGTTCTGGCTGGTTTATGTTACAGTGATAATCAGATGAAGTGGATTATTAGCCCATTATCTCCTTATATATTACATTACATTAATATTTTATAAATATTTTAATTTCAATAATTGTAAAAGTAAAGGCCTTCAATATTTAATTAAATAACCTCTTTATTTATAATCATAAGAAGAAATCAAAATATTTTATTTTATTTCTTTAAGAGTTGAAACTATAAGGGGTTGTTTGGTCGCACTCAGGATTTTATTTAAGTAGGATTTCGTAAATCCTCTAAATCCGGATTTACGAAATCCTCAAGGGGTTAAATCCGTCGAATATGAGGATTTCAGAGATCTAGGATTTACCACAAAAAGAGGTAATTTTCTGTCTACCATGGCTTTCATTTGCCGTGAGATTTGGTTTTGCATTTTAGGCCGTTTGGCTGAATTTTGCTCAAGTCCGCCTTAAACCCTGCCTAAATCCTGCTACCAAACAACTCCTAAAAATTAAATAAAGATGAGAGAATAAAGTTGATATCAATTAAAAAATAAACAATAAAAAAATATATATGTTTGAGTAAAAATATTCTATTTATTTGATAAATCAAATACATAAATAAATTACAAATTATAAAAGATACATGATCATGAATTAACATAAGATATTCATCCATTTATCAATTGGACCAAGAACAAGAATTCAAATAGAAAATAACCAAAATAGTCTAAGGGTTCGTTTGGGACGGCTTTCTTACTGCTTCTTAAAATAATTTTTAAGTACAAAAGTTGCTTTGAGAAGCGACCGTCCCAAACTAAACTTAAGTATATACAAGACTCATCTTCCAAATTTTCATAGTATCCCAAAAGTTGACTAATCTAATTCTACCTTTTAAAATACTTCCTTCCAAAATGCCTCCAAATCATATATCACATTCAAACTACTTAAGCTTCATATTTAGTTTTACTGGAATTATCTTCATCTTTTGTTTCATCCTTAATTTTGACCTCATCATTTCCAACATTTATTTAGGGCATATGTCTTAATTTCCTATAATCTCAACCAAGCATTGCATGACTTTAGGTTTGTGATAGTAGCTATCTTTATCATATTAAAATGAAAGTTCAAAAAATATGCTCGTGAGTAAATGCCTTAGTGAAGTTGACTATCGCATCTCTTCTTCTTTAAAATGCTAGTATAGCTTGTACAATTTTTTTTTTGTGTTCTTGAAAATGCTTTTAATTGTCTTTCTTATTGGCATATGTTATCATAAAGAAAACTAAGTGATGACTTCTCATCATAATCAGCCATTTATAATGGCCTCATCAAAAGCCTTGATAATTTTGACATTATTATAATAGTCATTCTAGAACTTGAATCTACAATGTAGAAGTATCTCTTTTATTTTGATGGTTTTTGACAACTTTATCTTGGAGTAATGCTTACTAGTAATAAATGACTAAAAATCATGCTAATGGTCATGGAAACACTTCAAATTTATTGTAGAGTGAGTTTCTCTGGGACACTGTCTCTTTACAATCTAACCCTTTTTTTTTAGCCAAGATAATATAAAGGTGCGATTATAAATAAAAAAATATCACATTTGATGTTTTTTTTTTTTAGATTTTATGATATATGACACATTACCAACATCTTTTAAAATAAAATTCAAGCATGGCACAACATAAGGTGACTTATAAATGTTACCATATTTCTTATAAGGTAATAAATGTCCAGCTTTTTTATAGTTTATAACATTATCAATTACTATAATTATACAAAAATTTTCAAACCCACCCATTCAATAACTTCAATAAATTAAGCATATAAATTGCTTATATCATTCTTGCACTATAGAAAAAAATGCAAATTATAAGCGAAATTTTTTTGTTGGACAATCTTACGGATTTTCTGAAGGATTTTCAAGGAAATATTTTCAACGGGTTTCCGGCAGATTTCTGCTCGAAATTTTTGCTTGAATATTTCTGACAGAATTCTGGTGGAATTTAATATTTTCTGGAAAATAATTATAATAAATATTTATAAATTAAAGAAATAGTTTTAATAATTATTGTTAAGTTAAATTCCTTAGTTTAAATTAACCAATTAACTAATTGACTAAGTATTGATAAATAAATTTAATTTTTGGAGATATATTTTTTTTAATTTTAAATTAAAAATTTTTATTTATTTTAATTATCAATTAATTAAAAAAAATTATTATCTAATTTCATAATTAAACAATAAATCTTTAATAATATGCTGATATTATTTAATAAAAAATATTAAATGATTAAAAATATTAGCAAGATTTTATTTCATGTTTTAAATATTACAACTATATTACAAAATTATTAATATTAATTTTAATATTCTATAAAGTTATTAACTTAAATAAATAAAAGAATAGCTATTAAATTCAGAACTTACTCCGTAGGCGTAATGGATCGGGGTCCTGACTTTAGTAAGTTGTGAAGCCAGGGTCATCCATTACGCTACAGAGCCGTAGGCAACGGGCAGGGGTGTGGGCAGGCACGTGCGGGCGCCTGCCCACGCGTAGGCGTGTGCGGGCTGGCGGTGTGCTAGTTAGTGTCGCCGGCAGACGAGTTTGGAAGCTAGCTGGGTTGTCACTTGCGCGTGCAGACAACGGCAAAGACGTGGGCAGCGTGTTGGCTGGTAGGCGGGTGGCTAGCCCGATTGGCCTGAATTTAGAATAATTTTTTTTCTAGTTGCATCTTCAAGCTTAAATACTTCTTTCTCGTGGATTATTTTCGTAGGAAATTCACAAATATCTTTGATTTTTTTCGCAAGGTATTTGTTTTTAGATGATCGTTTCACGGAGCAAAAATTTTTTGTTAGAAATACTAATACCGATAGAAATGAGCATTTTACAAAAATGAGCCAGCCAAACAAAATCGTTGTTTTTCCCTATAGTGTTAAAATCAGAAAGCTTAAAAATATCAAAGGGAGAACGCACATGGATAACTAAACTAGAAAATTGATTTAAGCCTCACTTCTATTGTACATCATCCACAACAATTGGTCTTATATATATTATAATAATATATAAATATATATACATATATATATATATATTATATATATATATTATATATATTATATTATATAGTTATATTATATATATATTATAAAACTGTAACATTGCTTTTTTTCATCTTCTAATAAGTTTTACTCTAATTTTATAAGAAGAAGGTTGGTAGTTAATGTGTCACCTTCAAGAGATTAGTATGTCAATTCTACCTATTATAATCCGACTTGAGTGAAGGCAACCACTAAATCTTTACTTTTGGAAGCCCCCCCCCTCTACATGTGTTTGGAAGTGTTATGTGTGCTTGTGAATCTATATGTGTTTTGTTATGGGTCCTAGGAATTTATTTGCATGTTTGAAAATATGCAAATTTTCTTCTTGGGAAGCCGTGACACTAGGGTTGGGGGTACCTAGCGCCAAGCCCACTGAAATTTTACAATTAATTTAATGCGACTGCGCTAGAGGTTGTACTGCGGCGGTGCTGTGGGCTTTCCAAAGTAGCGCGTGTTGGGCGCCACAGTGTTATGACAAATTTTAATAATAATCAAATATAAATCCACTATTCCATTCATTTTATTTCTCTTAGACCCTCCAGTTAGTGAGAGAGAGAGGATTTTCTAAAGATAGAAAGACCATTTTGGATGGCTTTGGGCTTTTTTCAGTTGGAGTAGTTTGGAAAGTTGTTCGGGTTGAGGTATGTTATATTTTTTCTATCTTGATTTTTAAATAATTTGGTATTTTTGAGATTTTTCTAATTGAATTTATAAGTTAGTTTTACAAAAATACAATTTTCTCATATTCTGATAAATTTCATCCACGTAACTTTTGATTTGTTGTCGGTATGATTATTCTAGTCATTTTGAGCATTTATTTGAGATTTTAGCTAGGTGATTTTGAAAAACAATTATTTTTATCAATTCAAAAAATTATTTTGATATAAAAAAATAGAGCTTTAGTTCAGTTAAAGCTTCAGAATAATGATATACATAATCTATGATAATGTGACATAATTATAAAAACTATAGTTTTGACGAACTATAGAACATTAGGTAAAAAATTATTTTGAGACGTTAGAGCATTTTGTAGAATTATACAATAACATTATAATAATTTTAGTAGTATATAATGCACTTTATTTTCAATATACGTGTTTGAAATTTTTGAATTTTGTGAAAAGAAGAGATTATGTTGGTGGCAAGAAGGGATTATGTTGTTTGTTATTTATTATATATTGGAAGTTGGCACCTGAGGGGTCATTCCGATATTTACAATGAGGTGTTTACTTATATTTCAGTCAATTTCAATACAATTTCACTACTTATATAAATGCTTATTTTGATTCAGTATCAATTTATACTTCAGTTTCAATTTTTTTGTATTGTACTTCAGTTTATTATTTCAACATTTTTTTTTGAGTTATTGATTCATGTTTTAGGCTATAGTAACCTAATGAGTTGTGTTAATTCACTCTTGCTTTTGTTTCTATTTTCAGGTCAGAAAAAAAGTAAAGAACAAGCTAAGTAGTTTTTAATATCAAGCTCTGATCACTATTATAGCATGCATTTTGACTATTTTTCTTTTGATAGGCTTGGCTTTTATTTTTGTTGCACCTTCCTATTGTCAAACACTATTATAGATGGACTCATATTGTATTTGTATGTTGGATGATATGCAGAAAAATTATTTATAAGATCCAATAGTCTTCTGATTTATATTTATTTTCAATGGTGG